ACCACGTATGATGATCTTTTATCTTCCGCGCTAGCTCACACTACGCGGTTGACAAGAGGATTGCCAAGTCAAAGCTTGGGAAAGTTACAGCGAGGAACGGGTGAGTCGTGATTGAATGGTTGCGTGTACGAACAATGCCGATATTAGTACATTGGTAGTCACATCTACAGCTTAGGTGGGCGAAATTCGTCCGAACTCGAGGACTAGCGCGTCCCAGCGTCTAGCACAGCAGCTGGAGTCGATGTAGATGCCTGCGACTCGGTGGCCTCCGCAGCTCGAGGATGCGAGCTTCCTTGAGCATCCGAAGCGCTCTGGACTGGCGAGGTCTCACCAGAGAAATTCTTCGCATTTCTGGTTTGCTTTTTCTCATCGAGCTCTTTCTTCGCTTGATCTCGCAGCGCTTGGTCATCGCTGCGATCGACAGACCGCTGCGGGATCAGGAAAAGCGTGACAAAGAATGCAGCAGCCGTGAGAGCGGCCAAGAGGTAAAAATTGTTGGAAAAGCCTTGTCGGTAGGCTTCTCGTAGCTGACTGAGCTCTTCCGCGCTAAGAGGAGCGGCATTGCTGTCAGAGCCTCCTAGAGAACTTTGCAGCAAAGCAGAAGGGTCGTTCAACACTTGCTTGATGCGCTCAGTCGACCATCCCAACGGCTGTAGTGCGCTGACGGTCACGTTGTTGATGATTGTAGCAGCAACCGCAAGTCCTAGACTACCACCGAGGTTTCGAAAGAAGTTGCGTGCTGCAGTGGTGACAGCTTGGTCTTTGCGCTCCACAGCGCCTTGCATTGCCACCAGCGAGATGCTGAGCGTGTTGCCGACGCCGACACCAGCGAGCAAGCCATAACCGATCTGTTTGCCCTTGCCATCTCCTTCTCTCAAAGTGCTGAAGAGGCCCATGGCGACGCTCCAGACGATCCAGCCCACGAGGAGGTTCCAACGATACGTGCCGGTCCAGCTGAGGATCAAGCCACTTGCGGTAGACGAGAGGGTCTGTACCACGGTGAGCGGAATGATTAGCGCAGCTGCGATGATAGCTGGATAACCAAACACCAGTTGGTAGAATTGAGTGATGTAGAAGATCTGCACGAGAAAGACCCATCCATTGATGAGCTGGCAGATCATGCCACCGACGATGATACGCTTGCGAAAGAGCTGGAGAGGCATGAGCGGCAAGCGTGTGCCCTTCCATTCCCATAAGCAGAACACTACGGCAACGCTCCCGCCGACGATGAGAGGGCCGAGAACCCAGGAGGAAGACCAAGGATGTTCACCGCCTCTCCACGTGAGACCGAGGACGATAAGAAGCGAGGAAGCCAGGGTCAGGATTGCACCGACCCAATCGATAGCTTTGAATTTGGCTTTGGCGCTCCCGTGCACCTTTTTAGTTGGCAGAAAGAAAAAAACCATGGCGAAGCTGAAGGCAGATAGCGGAAGTTGAAGTCGAAAGATGTCTCTCCAGCTAGCCTTGCTCGCGAACGCACCCCCAATGATGGGTCCTACTCCGTTGAATACGGCTACGACGGCACCGAGAATACCCTGATAAGTTCCTCTTTGGCGCAGGGAAACCACGTCCGAAATGACGACCTGACTCAGGGTGATGAGGCCACCGCCACCGATGCCGGTAAAGGCCCTGAAAATCGCGAGCTGGGTGGTCGTCCGCGCGAGCGAGCTGGCGAGGCTTCCGAAGAAAAAGATGACAACGCATCCCAACAGACAATTCTTTCGACCGCAAATGTCGGATATCCGTCCGTAGAGCAGCTGAAATGAAGTGCTGGTTAGAAAGTAAGCGCTCGAAATCCATGCCCTCTGAGTGCCGCTGCCGAGCTCGGAGGAAATGATAGGAATGGCGACCGCCAGGGTGGATTGGTCCAAAAGGCTGCACATGGTCGATGCAGCCAGCACAAAGAAGATGATGATGATTTGCCTTCGCGGGACATAATTCGTCTGCTCGGTGGGAACATACTTTTCGGCTTCATTGCCGCCCACTGCGCTTGAAGCGGCTGCTGGCATAGCAGGCCCCGCCTCTACATCGCCTGCAGCTACGGCGTCATCTTTGAGATTCCGCTCGTTGTCGCAAGCCTCGGCGTGCGTCGCTTCCGAAAGGGTCGCTGTGTCGTGTTCGCCGTGATCATCGGCGGTGCTGCCTGGGTCATAATCTGGTTGTGCACCGTCGCGACGATCGACGCAGTCTTTGGGCTGCTGTTCAGTCAGCATTTGCAACCACTCCAAGCTTTGAGGTTTGTTTTGTGAGCGTTTGGACCAGCTTGTGTCGAGACTTCGGAGAGATGCGAGCAGCTTGGAGTCGTGAGCTGTCCGCGCTGAAGCGGCGTCAAGCTCGGGTGTGCTTACAAGTGTCAGCTAAGGCACTTTTGTCATGATTCAGATGGTTGGTGCAGTCAGCTTCTGATGTGATCAGCTCTGACTCGAACCAACGGTTGAAGGGCTCGTACGACTTGATGTTGAACGCATGAGTAATCCACACAACGGCTGAAACACACCTTTGAAGGGGGGTCCGGCCTCCAAGCAAACGCTGGGATTCAGGAATGGGATTTTGGACCGATAAGCCCTTGTGTACCTGACCATCGCCTTCGGACTTGATCGGTCTTGCTCGCGTCTCGGCAAGTCGCCGGTTTCGCAGCAAGCGGCCATTGGCACGATCATGCAACGTATGTTTTCAAGTTGTGCCGGCAGCAGGTGGCATGCAGTGACTTGCAGATCTTTGCTCCAGCATCAGCAGATGGGCGGTGCGGTTCAGCAGTGTGCTCGGCACGATCGGCGCTTCTGCCGATGCCCCGCCTACTCCGCAACGGTGCAGTCGCGATCGAGTCGCGTGATGGGTACCGCGTAGCACATTCAAGGGGCTTTTCAAAAGTTAGCATGGCAGTAGTCAAGCATCGAAGCAGCCTCTCAGAACAAGGCGGAGCAACCAGCGCGCAAACAAATTCCAATAGGAAAGCTGTCGTTGCGACAAAATAAGGAGTGCCGGAGGACTTTCCAGGCTATAGGTCGGATTCGCGGTGTATCAAGACGAGATAGATGCATGTGGCAGTAACAAGGCGAGACAGACAGAGGGCAAGAAACAATTTCTAATGAGGTGGAAAGGCGAAAGCAAAAGAGTACACTTGCTTTGAGCGCAAGGCGTAATTCATGAAAGCGTGCGAGTTTATCCACCACCAGCTGAGCTGATGGAATTCGAAAGAGAGCTCGTGTTGGCAGGCCGTATGCAGAAAACAGTGGTATCTCCCATCTGTATGTGGGTGGGCTAGCGTCAACAAACCGCGAGGGATGCGGAGAAAACGTAACGGAACTTACAAAGACAATTTGGTTGCGGCTTGCAGCAACACTTTCCCAGACAGGATTTCTCTGCAGAGGCGGCGGCCGGGGTGCTTGCGCAGCAGTAAAAGCAAATGGCACGCCAGGTCGGTACATCGGCTGGCCTGGTTGGGGCCCGTATGGCGGTGGCCTGGGTCCAGGGCCCATTGGCGGCCGTCCATACGCGGCACCAGGAGGAGCACCGTTCATACCCATCTGGAAACTTTGAGCGCGCGAGAGTCCGCCAGGCGGATAGTCTGGAGCCATCGGTGGGGCTCCCGGATAAGGCGGTCTACCGTACGAATTCATGGCATTCGGCGCTGGCGAACCGTGCAAATTCACCTTACTGCTCGCTGCGCTGCTCGACACGCTGGAGCTTGACGATGATGCAGGTGGCGCGACGTCTGCGAACAGACACCTCAAATTGTAGCCAGTAATGACCTGATGCAAGGCGCCTGTCTGCACGTGTCGGACTTCGATGAAGCTTGGCTCAAAGGCAAGCACGTAAGGATGATGATACGCGAAAGAGGTTGGGTTTCCCTCCCAATGGATGATCCAGTTGCCCTTCGAACGCCATCCGTTCTTGTTGACGTAGAACGCAAATTCGTCGTAGCATAGCAAGAACTCGCCATCGATCCGATAGATGGCGATGGGCTTGACCGTCTCCTTGCGTTGCACAAAGTCCAAATTAGAGTCAGCAGGATCAAGCAATCCTTGGGTGTCGAGCGTTTCGAGGTCCACGATCTCAAAGCCCTTGGTGCAGCCAACGCATAATTTGCTCTTGAGGAAGTGGATGCTGCTACTTTCCGTCGGGATATAGAACTCCTTGAAGACGCGCAAGGTTTCCTGACCTCCTTGCAAGAGCTTGCGGAAGGTGGGCTGCTTCTTCCCTCTGACATTTTGCTCAATTGGCTCAAGCGTCTTGATGGTCGATGAGAGCGAAGAAGACTTGACAACGCATACCAACGTCCGCCCGAGACACTGTCCGGCTTTGAAAAAGGACGTGTGAGAAGAGATGCGGCGCCCTCGCTTCAAAGATCCCATTGGGTCGGAAGGGTCCAATGCGTCCAAAGTGAAAGTGTGCACGCTGCGTTCAGCAAGGATAATCAAGATCTGATACTCTTCCAGCACGTCCATTTGTGTGACGCCAGGCAAAGGCAGCACCTTGGTTGGCGGGCGAGCCTTCTCCCGCAGATCTGAAAGGTAAACGCCGTCGTCTGTGCCGTAGATGATGCGTCTGCCAAAGTCGAACGGCACAGAGCACGTCACCTTTGCAGGTCCGCTAAAGAAGCTCTCGCTGAGTGTGATCGTGTCAAAGATGTTTGAACGCTGTCGCAGGACATCCTGTCTAGCCTCGATGTGCTCGAACCACTTCTTCCGACTAACGAAGGTGCTGGCCCAAAGCGTCTGCGTGTATCCTTTTCTGCCCAAGTAGGTAAACGTCAAAGCGTAGCCTGTCTTTTGATCTTGCTTCGGAGCCGAGCCTGTTGGCACGCCACCGCTGAGACGATTGCCTGTGGACGTACGCGACATGACGGACTTGGGTCTCGTCGCAGTGCCCTTACCAGTCGGGACCTCATCGTACACTGTGACGATCAGAAGCTCGAGTGGTATCGGCTGAGGAGCGCATGCAAAGGGGGGGGG